GTAGGGAAGAGGGCAATGCTGACCTAATTTACGCTGAAAAATCTGAAGTCTTATACTAAACTTTTGTGCATATCTCTTCCCTGAACAATTGTCAGCCCTTTGAGGTAGTCCAGACCAGGAAACCAAATTTATGAATGCTAATACTATTTTTAGTATAAGGTTACAGTAAAAGAATTTTGCAAGTCTGAATGTGCCTCTCCCCTCCCTGCCTTTATGTCCCAAGAAAACAAGGGAGGGTCAAGTCTGAAATTATTTCTCAAATTACATTCCTGCTTTGCACTCAGATTTCTCTTATCTGACCATTGTCTTGGTTGCAGCTCTTCTTCCTGTCCCTCAAGGTTATTTTCACAGCCCATTACAACAATTCCGACATTGTTCATATTTTAAAATTCAGCAGCTAACCCTCATGGTAACACTACTGTAACATTAATGCAACATTTATCTGCAATCTTTTCCTAATAACTCTACTTTAAACAAATTATTGAATATAAAGGAGTCAATAATAATTGTAATATTAAATGTATATGCTGCCCGACTCCCAGAGACTATTTGTAACAGAGATATAACCACACATACTAAGTGCCTACAATTTACATATGTACACACACACACAAATTGGAAATGTTTTAGATCACCTCTATCCAAATTATTGCTTCTTTAGTTATATTTATTGATGTTTAAAGAGATGTATCAAAATCTAATTAATGAAATTGAAACATTTTAGATTTTTTAAAATAGCTTTTGCCATTCACACATCCATGTTTACTGTGTTCTCACCTAGCATTTACTTTTTGGCACAATATCTTTAATTTTTTTCAGAAAACAGAAAGCAGATCAAAGCAAAACAAGACTTTATAGCCTGCTGCAAAGAGGAAACATAAGAGAAGAAATAAATCAGTTTTCTTACTGTATTCTTGGAGGGCTCCCAAGCCGTATCTACCTTGCCCACATCTTGCATGTCTTGGAGCTGGCGAAGCTGCGACAAAGTATGATGTCGCAGAGCCTCATGCAGGGGAGTATCCCCGTCTTTATCCTGAATGTCCAGTTTAGCACCTGCACGAACTAAAAGCTGAGAAGAAATAAAAGCTTCAAGACTGTGAACGCTTTTTACAGTAAATAGGATTAGACTTATTAAAAACATTTGAATATTAAAAACAGCTCGTAACTTTAGCTGTTCAAAGTTTCTTCTTAATTACATTTTTCAGCCTATATTTTAAACTTTTATTTTAATCTCATTTTCATCTATTGCTATGCTTGCTGAACATAAGTTAGTAAATCATGGTTAAATAGAAGATAATGGATATCCAAAAGGAAGTTGCTCTAACACTCTATTATTGTAAATACATGAAAAATTACTAAACTTGACCAATATAATTTTTAACAGATAATGTGTTGGTATGATAGCATTATGTGCAAAAACTCAATTCAGAAACCTAAGCTGGAAGGTAGCAAAGGAAGAATATGAAAAGCAAATGTGATATAGCAAACACTGAACCAAACCTACAGTATATTTTATAAGAGGTATCCTGCGATCAAAAGTTGTAGTGTACAGTGATTTGATCAATATTCCAACCACTGCATTCTTTACCCTCTTGGTTTTCTATTTCATCCATATCCTTCTCTCTAATAATTTGGTTTTTTACCTACTCTCATTTTCTGTCCTCTTCTCTCTTACCTCCTTCAATACAATTTTTCCCCACTCAATCACCATGTTGTGGTTATTGGGTAACAGAATTTACTGATATACCTCTTGTGCATGAAAGATTAAATCAGAAATTGAATAAATAGTCTCTGTTTGAATGTTGATCAATATTTAATATATTTAAAAATAACTTAAGTGTGATGTATAAGTGGAAAAGCAACCAGACTGTCATTTAAAGAGGCCACATTTGTTGTCAATATGGTGGAAGGAAAACAGAGCATGAAAATGGGTAAATCTCTTATTGCATAACCCTTTTAGAAATATACTGCACTACAATAGTATAGTTCAGAAGTACATTCTTATCGTACATTACTATTACCTTACCCGCACTATCTGAGTGTGCTGTCTTTCAACAGCAAGGTGCAGTGCAGTTTGTTGATTTACGTTCTGGATATCCAAGTTAGCATTGCCCTGAAAGAGAAATCCCAACTGTTACTCATTATATTAACTGAACTGAACTATCTAAAGTACTCATGGAAGAAAGTATATGAAAGCATAGTGAAAAAGATTAGACTACTTTCCCAAACTTCTCCACTGCTAAAATCAACTGAAAAATCTACACATACATTTTAATTTATGAAACTGGATTAATTTTCACATTATTTCTATTTTGCATTTATCAGTATTTTCCATGAATCAATATTTGATATGGAAAGTTTATAAAATGTTTCATTAGTTTTCAAATTTAAACAATAGAATTGATCTACTGAAATAGATTAATATTTCTCACAATACAGCCACTCCTCATTTAGCAGCTACCTCGTTTAGCGACCATTCACAAATATGATGGTAATTTAAAACAATAATTTTCTGACCAATGCATGCATTTACAATCAAATTTCACCCACCTGACCACAAAAGCCTTCAGTGTGAAACTGATTAATGTCTGGTCAGTTTCAGGCAGCAGTGTAAGCTAGTGGGAAAGTTCTAATCAACTAATTAAGGTCAGGGAGCTAAGCTTGTTAACCTGTGGTTAGCACTTTTTAGGGAAGCCTTGTGGAGAAAAGCAGATTAGGAAGAGATAGCTTGTTTAAGCAATCTCTCTGCCCTGCAAGGGGGCAAAAAAAGGAAAAAAAACGGGTCAGGCACAGGACACTGTACCAGAGAAGTTTATCTAAATGAGATGGTAGATGATCTCTAAATGAGATCTTTGCAGCATCTCTCTCTCTCTCTCTCTCTCTCTCTCTCACGTGTTCGCTTAGTGACCACTTAGTTTAGTGACCATTTTGCTATAGGCAACAGTTACTAAACAAAGAGATGGTGCATACAGTACTGAAACAATTTATGCATAGGAGTTCATAAGCTCCACATATTGGGTGGATATAACCAACTTACCTCTTTGGTCAGTTCAAGCTTATCAGTTCAAACATTTAAAGAGCAACTTTCTACTGGCTTAAGACAAAATATAGCTTCTGGATGAAAAGCTAAATAATCATAATCATAATCATAATCATAATAGAAGAGGAAAAAAATGAAACTTGTATGCCACCTGACTCTCAACAACAATAAAAGAAATTACATAAAATCAATAAAACATAAAAGATAAAGATAAAAGACAGCAAGTGCGATGAAGTGAGGGGTCTCCCTCTCCCTCGCCAAAGGTCTCAGTGAAGAGCCGGGTCTCCATGGCTCTTTTAAACAATAGGAGAGTGGGGGCCATCCAAATCTCAGGGGGAACCTCGTTCCAGAGGGCAGACGCTGCTACAGAGAAGGCACACTTTTTTTTTAATGTGATTTTATTAAGAATTGTAATTACAATAGTAAAAACTAATACCAACTAAACTTAGAGAAAGAGAAGAGAATGGAAAGAATAAAAAATGCAGGAAAAAAGAAAAAGAAAAGAAAGAATATAATAAAGAAAAGAAATATATAAAAAGTGACTTCCAGCCTTCATCACAACAAAGTATAAACAAATGTAATAACTCTTCACCCTCTATAAGGTTAAACAGATACCTGTCGATCCTATATGCCATCCTTTATCTATAAGCAATTCCATAAAACACCAACTTTTCAATCCTGGTGTCAACAAAAAGTCTATAAAGGGTTGCCAGAACATTGCAAAAAACAAAAACAAACTTATTTTAACCTTGATCAAATCAACCAACTTTATATTCCTTCCTTTTACTTCTAATAGTCTTAATCTTTAATTCAACCAAATATTGTCATAGGATTTTATTCATCTTCAGTTGTTCTTTATCACAGCGCACAGATTTCTTCAGGGCTTTAACAAACCTCTTTTGTAGATCCAATAAGAAAACATTTTTCAGGTCATGCTCTTAGTTTATCATTTGTATTTCCCTTTTAATTTTTAAAACTTCAGCCAGTTTCTTCTGTATATCCAGGTTCAATTTCATTATGTTATTTCCAGGTGATTTCTCTAATTAATTAAGCTCATTTATTTTATTTTTGCCTTCTAGGATATTAGCTAGCCACCTAATGATCTAGCCACCCCATTTTATGACATTATTACACCCCACTCATTATGTCTATCCAGTTTGATAAGAAACCACTTATGAATACACTTTGATTATGATTTTTTTGATCCAGCTAAGTATCAACTAAATGGTTATGCTCTGTTTAAACTAAAATATATTATGCCTATAGCATTCCCAAAATTTAAGCTGCCCAATCAAAAATGAGATTAATTAATTTAGCAAGACCTCTACTTAAATATGGCTAGATTTAGTTACTGCATTGTTTTTAAGGTATTTACAGATACTGATGTTAGATGGATTGGTCTTGTTCCCTGGATTTTCCTTCTTCCTGCAGTTAACTGTCATTTCATAGATACAGTTCCTTCAGTAACCTAGGATGGAATTTATCTGACCCTACTCATTCAAAATAGATAGGCATTCTGTAACTATTTTTCTATCAGTGTCAAGCTTCAGTTCTAACTATTCACCCGGCTTTTCATACATGCTGTCTTGTTGGAGAAGAGTGACCGAATCTCCTGCCAAGTGGCTCCATTTTCTTGTTTTGTCTTGGTTAGTGGTTACTATTTTGCCATCATCCCAAGGCTGAAGTAGCTGGTATACTGTTCTTTTTTCCTTTATTTTATTTTGAACATAGTTGAACTTTATTTATTTACTCATATGTTCTTTTTGCTTAGGTAAGCCAATGTAAACACCAATAATACTATCATTTTATTAGTTCTTCTACTTGCTTTAATCCAGATGCCCTCTACAGTATTGCCAAGTTTATTAGTGAACAAGTATGAATACTTTTAACATCTGAGCAAGTATTAATACTTTTAACATACAGCACAACTCCTCCTTTCTTTGAATAAACTATATTTTCCAGTTGCTTAACTAAAAGACTCACCCCATGAGGATGATGACTATACAAATTAGAAAAAAAAATGGAATGATATGTACATTTCCAATATTTCAATAAAATATCCAAGAACAGATAGCTAATGATACTAAAGCCCAGCTCCTGAATTTGTGCTACCTCCACTATGCTATCAGTGGAGAACCAGTGGTAACACAGACAAAACTGAGATAAATGTCTCAATGATAGTAACAAATACCTTTATTTGGATGTAGAAAATGGTCTGGAAACCAATGTATGCATCTATTTTTAACGAATAATATTCTGGCATGAAACCAATTAATAAGAAACTTTACCTGATGCACCAAAAGTTCTGCTACTTCTACATGATTATTAAGTGCTGCCAAATGCAAAGCAGTATATCCATCATCTTTTTTTTCATCTACAATCCATGGTCTTGGAAGCTTAGAGAGTAACACTCGCATTGCACTGAAACAGACAAAAATGTAGAAGATTATATCCAGTATTAATTTGTAGTAGGAACCCAATCCACCATTCATGTATAACATCCCAAAATTCAGTAATTAGATAGCCAGGAGTCTTTTTTATTATCATTACTGAAAAACTGATTTTATATGAAATACTATCCATTCTATTAAACCTTATCATAACATTCTTTCTCAATGAGATAACATAATGGGAGCCATATAATTATATTAGCTATTCTAGTAAACCATGTCCAATTCTTCTGAGATTTATTCATATTGTCTTACTTCAGATATCCCCACATAGTTTGTTAATATACTTTAAGTGCTAATAGCTATTTTACAATCATTAATAGGGTAATGATTTAATTCCCCTGAATTCAATAGGGCTTACTTCTGAGTAAATATATGTATAATTTCATAATAAAATGAATTTTTCAACTATCCTACTCAGTTTGCCACATGGAATATACACAGACATTTATGACTGCTTATTTACCATGAGTGGGCAGCCTAGAAATCAGAGAAATAATTAAATAAACTTAGTAATGGTATGATTTGAAAATGGGAAGAAAGACACTATTTTCAACACTGTCCTGAATCTCAATTTATTTTCCCTTTCTCTCCCTTCCCCCTTGCCTCAAATATCATTACTTCATGTTTGAGAATTATGTTCATGCAGCTCATATACCACCTGGTGTGCTTCAATCTAACATGCTGACACTACATACTTTCCCTATTATATATGAATGGAATTTTGTATGGGAATTCATAGCAGCAACATGAAGTGTTGTACTTGTGTGCAGCTTGGTGTGTCCGTGTATGGAGTATGCATGTCTGTGTACGTATGTGTAGCTTGGGGCATGTGTATGTGCTTAATGGGAAACGCAAAATAGGTATTAAGCCAATCTTCCCCCCTTAAAAATTCAATTTACCCTTCAAAACTATTCTTCTGTTTTTTAAAAAATAACTTCCAATGCTTCTAAGTCTTCCTTATTTCTCCAGAACATACATGAATCTTTTTACATTGACCAGAATATAAAAGATAGAAGAACTGGGGACCAGAAAAAACTGATGTAGTTTACCATTTAAACATATTTATATCTGATCTTAAAAACATTTTTTCAAGGTAGTTTACAGATAATTAAAACTCATATAATAGATTCACTAAAAAGATTTCTGAAAGCAATCAAGTAGTCTTTTTTTTTTTAAATGAACAATTAATAGAACAATAAACACAGTGGGGAGGGGAGAATTATATACCTACCACCTAATATATCTATTCCACAGGAGTGCCATAGAAGAAATCCTTTCACTAGTAATCATTTAAATAATGAGAATATGGGGACTGCTACATAGATTTATCAAGATAAGGTAGGCTTATGAAAAAAATTACAAGTCTAGAGATACATCTAGATATAAACTATTCATTCTGGATGGTTATTTACAGAGAATTAACAGCTTACACTCTCATGAGCCATGAACTACCAACCACTGTATCCTTCTACCAATCATCAGCCCTCCCACAAATAGAGACCTATGTCAGAGAAGGGCTATACACTTACAGAATGTTTGACAGATCATCTCTAATTGTTTGCAATAAGACATTTTGTCCAGATAGGACACAAACCACATTTAATGTACAAATGAAATTAGACAAACTCTTAAAATTGTTTTTTTTTAAAACAAGTACATTAACCTTAATATACATATACGTATTCATAGAATATGTTGTAGTTTCCTAAAATAAAACTCCAACTATAGGTTTAAAGTTAAAACTAAGAAAACTAGAAAACTAATTTCTTTCATCCTGATTATTAAAAAGGCTTGATTCCTTACTCCAAACTGTATTTGATTATTTTTGCACAAAACAAAGATTTCTAAATTACCTTATTGAAAAGTTACTTGCTCTTTATTCTGAATTTCCTCTTACTATCTTGCTTGTTTTTATCTCTAGTAGAATAAACACAGTGACTGAGATATCAGAATTTGAGCATCAGTGAAAAAAAATTAGAAAACTTGTTGAAACACAAGACCCAACTTTATTTGATATTGCTAAAATATATCACACACATAAGACTGAGCAGTAAAACTGTAGGATGAACCATCAATAGGCAGAGTAAAAGACAGAGGCACCGTCTGTTCCTGGAACAGCAACCAACAGTCGAGATACTATTTTTTGCAATGGTTGACTAAATATGGTCAGGGAAGAGAGAGGCAAAAGACAGCCTGGGAGTGGATGTTTCAAATGCCTAGCTGCCTATAAAGCCGAAATAGTTTTGCTAGTGCCCTGATTAGCAAATGGATTCATACTAAATAGCATGCATGTGGAAGCCCTGACCTCAAAAGCAGTGTTTGACCTCTGAAGATGAAAAATAACTACAAGAAACCTGTCTGGGAACTAAAATTCAAGCATGAAGAAACCAAGTGCCATATCTATGGAGAAAGAAACAATACTTGCTTGGGAAGGATGATGGTGTTTGCTGATTTTTTACAATCTCATGAACATTTTTCAGTTATTTTCAATTACCTAAACAAGATGAGATTATCCTTCTTTGGGTTTTCCTAGCATCCACCCTGGATATTTCTGTTTTCAGTCCTGCAGGTTCAAGAAACTTAGTTCCATGCAACAACACCTTAATGTTTAGGAAAACACAACAGATATCTTGTAAGATACCTGCTCATATTTTAATTATACTTATTTTATAGAGTGAAATGTGTATTCATTTTCACCTCTCCATTGCTTCCCCCCTCCCACATAATGAAGAGCTGAATCAGCGATAGAGTGAACATTCAAGATGAGATGGCTGCTGCTGATGTCTCTCTCTAGGTCATCCAACTGCAAATGCTGCATGATAAGCTTACAGGTAACAGAGCATTAGAAGTCCTGGATTATTCCACATATTTAAAGGATTCATGTCTGCATGTATCTTTTAGTAATTTATGTATTTGTTATATTAATCTCAATTGCAGGTTAACACATTACCAGTGCTTAAATACCAAGTATTTCTAGTGTAAAGTGTTAATTTGGAAAAAAATCACCTTTAATCGAGTAATACCATAGCTGATTACTTGTTGGACAAGAAATCTTGTCAGTTGTATTTTAAGTATTGTATCTACTAATACTTTAGCATTTCTAAAAGTATTAATTGTACAGAAATGCATTACCCCATTCTTTCTTTCAAATTATATATTGGTTCCATTTCATTATACATAAAAGGGTAGGATAATAACGCATGGTTTAGTTATAAAGTACATTTACCAAGAGATTAAAATAATTTATTTTAGTACATGAGCAATATAATTCAAATTTGAAACAAGCAAGTTGTAATTGTTCTGCTGCATTGCTGTTTCTTCTTGTAGAATTGTGCTAGCTACTGCTAGTCTCTGATTTGCTCTCTATCAGCTGCACTAGCTTTTTCTCTTAAGCTGCAGAAACTGAACAATCGGGTTTCTTCAAGATAATCAACTTGAGCTTTTTTATATAAATTAATTTTTAAACATATGTAGGTATCAGATTAATTTTCTTGTTCTGATTATAAATATACTTTACAAATGGATTTATGCATCATTTAAAATGAATATCTACATATTTCTAGTTTTTTTTTAAATCCCCCCCAATTTTTTTTTTTTTGGCAACCTGATCTTGGTTTTTTTTTCTGTCTTATGACTAACACGAAGACAAAGATAAATTACAGTATCAGCCAACTAAACATATCAAGATATATGAGCTAGTAAACTTACAATGATTTTGACATGAAACAAGTAAATTATTGTATGAACTTTTCTAATTTGAAAATGTTCAGTAAAAACTAGCTCATGTTGGTCTGAATTAGAAGTAAAGGCCAAATCCTCACCTTTACAACTTTGTTTTTTTCTTGGAAAGTAATCAGCTTTTTATTCAGCTACATTCTCAATAATTATAAAATACTACAATTGAGATTCTTGCCGAAGACATACATCACCATGAAGATTATTATTTCCACTTCATCAGATAGTAGTATAAATATGCTAAAATACAGGTGAAGACCAATGGTAATGCAAGCTCAGAGTGGACTACATGAATACATACTACCATTTCATGAAGGTATTTTGTATAATCAAACTTTGGTGAATAAAAAGCAAAAGAAACCTAACAAGCACCTGAAATCTTCATGAAAGAATAATTGTTTTTAATATGTTTTAAATTATTATGCAAGTAAACCACAGGATGGCTTTAAATCTCAGCAGTAAGACCAGATACTAAGAAACAAGAGCAAAAATGTGTTCTTAAAACTCACCAGGAACAACTATATTACACTTTAGAATAAAAAGTGGGGGAAATGTTTTTCAGTTTCATCCAGCAGATAGCAGCTATTAAAACCTGCCCAGAGCACATACTTCTTTATGTACCCATATGAAGATATAATGTTATGGAATGTAAAGAAGTATGTACTTTTGGCAGGAGTGAACTACCAGTAAAAAAAAAAAAAAAGCAAGCTATATTTCACATGAAAGACATATTTTTTAGGTGAAATTAACTTGTAAAAGGATCAAGTGAATATTAGTGTAGAAGAACATACTGGGGGGAGGTGGGAATAATGGGGCAATTGTTTAAAACTAGGATGTTAAACATTATATTTAAAGGCAGTAATGCATTGATACTAACAATATTGTCCAATCATTTATTTTTTTTATTTATTCAAAATCTAAAATTAACAACAACCACACCACAACATATAATGCACAAACATAAAAACAATTACAGAACTATTTCCGGGTCATAACTTTGAAAACCACAATAAGTATTGCTCCTGAAACTTAAGCAAACCTCTCAGTGTGATTATCTGTTGCCTAATCATCCAAATCTAATACTAAAAGAATCAATCAAGAATATTTCTTAGAATATGAACCTGTAAACATAAAATCTGATTAGAAAACAAGGTATTTTCATGTATGCTAAGATGGACAAACTCAACATATTACAACAAAGACTTCTCTGATTTTCTACCTAATATGGCTTAACTTTTCCATTAGAAATCTACTAAACATATATTGCATATTGGCACCTTTGCTGCATTTAGCATATTTCCCAGTTGTATGAGCTGAAACTGCCTTGTTTCCTTGAGGATTCAATGAAAGAGTTTATGGATATATTTAAAACCTAGTTACACAGCTCAAACTTTACCCCTCAAAACTTTATCTCATTCTTTAGGCCCAAGCATTATGTACTATTGCATGTTTATGTGTAAAAAGTCTTATGACAGACATAAAATTAAAGAAATACATACATGTACTGAGGTAGCACAGTCAAAATGGGATCCTATAATCACTCCGTGCCTTTAATTTTCCCTTTTGCAAGCATGTCAATAGAATTTAATTGGCCTGATCAACAAGGAGATGCAAGTTGCACAACTGAGCTGAAGCAGGGCCAGGATTTTGCCCTTTTTGCACCTTTTTTCAGGGACATAATTAGCCTACTGGATGCTTAATGCATCTATTTTATTTCATTTCCTGAAGAAAATCTGTGAGGAATTGTGCTGCTATTTGGCAGTGCAATCCTGCGGGGTATTAGGGCCTCAAAAAGGAGAGGATATTGCTTGCAACCCATGGCCTCCCATTTTAAATCAGTGCTACAGCTGAAAATAAAAAAGGATGATTTAAATAAAGTTCCTCATTATATTAAAGATACATTAATGAAAATTAAATCTGAACACTATACCATATTTATTTAACAAATAGAGTATTATTATGTCTGATGAGTTAATTATTATTCTGTAACTGCTAAAGCAATCCTCACCTGCCTTTATATATTCAAAGTGGGGAAGAAGGATGTTTGCCACACATGCCAGAAACCTGTGGGTATTAAGGCAATTTTATATTTTCTTTTTTCTAACATTGTTCCTTTTTGCTTCACTTTGCTTTGGCCTATCACTATAAAAATGATGTAGCGAGCAAATTAAATATCAGTAATTTGTATGTCAAAGTAAGGACAGACAAACAAATAATATATATTTTGGAATAGTTTATTTCATCAGATGAAAATAAATGAAATGCTTAAGTTTGGCAGACAAAGTTTCGTTCATATCTAAGAAATTAATCAAGTAGTTCCTCTATGTAGAAAAGTGTTATTTCATTCTGTTCAGAGAATAATTGAACAGCTAAAATGCTAGGATTCCCATTATTTAATATTGACCTAATCACTCTTTAGGAGAAAATCAGTATTTTTTTTGTTTAGGTAAATACCATTTTTAAAATATCTCATTATTTAAAAGAGTTTGATTTTAATCCATCATGATTAGTTAACGTGGAAATTCTTCTGGTTGTATAGAGGAAGTTAGCATTTAAAATATATGATAGTTTTCTAACTGAAAATTCAAAGTAGACTAAGTGAGATTAAACTATAGTATATAGTACATGGCACCTAGATTCTCAGGCATCATATTTTAAATTTAATTTCTAACAGCCATCTCTTAAGATCTTATTCAGTTTATTCATATATAGCATTTTTCTCCAGAAAAAATATACCATTAGTTCTTAAGAATTTAAGAATACATTTGTTATTTAAACATAGAAAAAACTAAATAAATTGTTCTGTACCTTCACTAAACAATTAATTATAGTTCATAGAGTAAACGTGCAAAGCAGAAATAAATATTGGTATTGTCATTAACACACATTTTATTCTATAATCAACAGATTGATGATCAGAGAACACCCTTCACTAGCAACAAAGTTGGCAAACCTGGCTGAATTCTATGAAGCACTGCCTATTTCTAATAATAAGTCATCTGAGCAATAAATTAAAAATTAACTTCTGAAGGGTCACATTTTAAAAACTGAGTATGGTTTAAAGTGAATCACACACTTTGCCTAAAACATTATTATACACTAGCACTAAAGCAAGCCTTAGATAAAATTATGTATGTAGTTTAAAAAAAACACATCTTAATACTTTGAACATTGTCAGTCATGCTAAAATGTCACCTCCCTTACTTATGTCAGCTGCTGAATTCTAACTAAGTACAAACTGAACTCTGGACATCTGCTGACACAGTTGTAACTCAGACATTTCAACCATTTGACTGACAAGGATAACAGATGCTGACATTATCAAATGCTACTATACTTTTTTCCATGGTCACTTTTTGCCCTGATATGGCCAGTACATGAAAACTGTTGCCATCCGAAAGAATACTTGAGCAGCTGGATCAGTGCAGTTCCATATTACTGACAAAAGTAGATACAGTTTTAAATCTACCTTACTTGCTCAGGTTCCATACATGATACATTTCTATTAAACCCAAAGTATAAATACCTATGTATTTAGAGAAATATGTCTTTGCAACAAAATATATCATATAACTTATGCATTATTACTTTTATCAGATACAGACCAAATTAATATTACCCCAATCTAGCATGGCCCACTGTTCACAGGCCTTCAAATAAAATGCTGATCTACATTAAAAAAATGAATGTCATCTTATTAACTAAACGCATATGAATATTTAATTATATGCTGAGGTAATGATAACTATAACCCAAAAATACAGATATAGATAGAATATGCATAGAACAAGCATGGTAACAGAAAAAGCATTTCAAAATAAAACTCATCTTGGAAATATTAACCAGGGTTATACTTGAGCAAAATTATAAAGCCATGTGACAGAAACATTGCTCCTTAACTAGTTCTTTACAGTAAACCCCAATAAATATACGTTATATTTCACATTCCCACCCAAGAAACCCAAGTAAATAACGATACTTTTTATTATATTATCAAGATAATCAAGAAAAACACATTACTGGTATTGTAATAGCTCTACAATCCCAAGGAAATTGGCTCAATTTCCAATTTTCTAAGGCTCTGCCCTGAGTTTTACCATCATTAAAGTTACTACAGAAAGATATAAAAGGAAAATATAAAAAAATTATTGCAAGCCATCACAGTTTTCCTCTATGGCTTAGCTTTTCAAGTTTAATTTTTTCTATCTTTAATAATGTGAAAAATGAATCATTGTAAACAACAGTTAAAAATAGGAAAGTATATGTTTCCCCGTATCTGATATTTATATAATACAGCTATATGCTTCCTAAACTTCCATTTATTTATTTAATAAATGTATATGGCTGCCCTTCTCATATTCTTGATTCTGGGCAGCTAACAATTAAACAGGATAAAACTAGAGTAAAAAAGAAAAACAACCACAATTAGAAACAACATGAATAACATAAAATAGCAGCTGAGAACACTCATGACATCACACCTTCACTATAACCATGACCAAGAAATGGGCTCACCCATACTATCAGGGCCCCAGGCTTGATGGCAGAACCAGGTTTTCAATGCTTTGCTTAAGCTGGTAAAATGGAATCAAATCACATGTTTAATGGATTTGGTCCCCTTCAACCAGCTGTAGCTATGTATTGATCACTACAGGACAAGTGGTTTATCAACAGGTTATTTTAATAACAGGAATATAAAAATAAAAGGAAAAGAGCTTCTTAAAACTGACAACTTCAAAATTACAGGCAACCTGTACAAAACTGACCATCGATACCTATTATGGGAAGGTTGACAGTAACTTTTCTTTTTCTTTTTTTCTTTCAAGTCAAGTTTGATTCCTGAGGATTTTATGGATACATTGTTTTCTTGGCAACAATATGGAAGTGGTTTGCCACTGCTTTCTTCCTGTATGCTTTTTCAACTTCCCACTGTAGCCTACAGCCCAGATATTTCCTGGCCATCATCCATCCAAATATTAACCTGATTTGACCTTGCTTCAATTTTGAAACCAGACAAGTCAGCTGGGGACTGCCACCTAACTGGGTTGTTAGACACTATGTTTCCAAATGGAAAGGTATATATTAGAAATTGTGCATGTAGGAATTTTACTGTATGAAGCCTCCTTCTCTCCTATGTTCTGAAGTGACTGGACCAGAACCTAATCTAATTTCAGCACTGGTGATGGATCAGCATCCTTCATCTGAACTTAAAGAATTTTGAAACTAATTAGACAGTTGTTACAGCATGAACAGTTTTGTTATCTATCAACAGAGGGAATAACCTGAGAGCACAGAAGGAGCACCTATAGGGGCTGCTGTTGGTGGTCTACACTCACTCCAGTATTCACTACCCATGGTGATCATCTATAATGGCTAAAGGTGCCAAGGGCAGAAGTACAGCCTAAGACCAAATAAGATTGTATCAAAACACTGTGCAGGTACTCTCAGAAATGGGCAGGAAAAAGTCTGTTACCACATAAGGATAGAGAAAGAGACACAGAGCTTTAACCCTGAACCTGACATATTAACACAATTGGATTAATAAAAATTGCAGTAGTTGATTTTTGTCATTATAGCAGCTTCTTTTGCAATAAAAGCAATTTATGTATTTGAGCCTTGTTCTTGAATCTTCCAGTGCTAAGCTCATGAGTATATGTTTGCATTCCTAGAAATTCATTCCCATGCCCAGGGGGAAGCTGTAACAAGATCCGGCAATTCTCAGGTTAGACAAAACCATTATATAAACCATGTTTCACAATCTCAAGTACAGGAAGAAAATGGTCAAATTTCTGTAGATTCAAAAAGGCAGAAGGGAAAAAGCCTAGAATTTAAACCATGGAGCAGGAAGAGAGAGAGAGATAAAGATCTAAGTTCTGCAGTATACAGATTTTCTCCATACACATGGCTTTTATCTTGTCTGCAATAAAGGAGTTTATCTTGCAATTATGTATTTGTGAGCTTATGGGGTTAAGTGTTTGTAGAGTCAATATTTATTGCTGTGCCTGGCATGAAGTCTAGTACCATCTCACTCTGATGAAATAGCCAGCATACTTTATTAATTTAAGAAAGCAAAAACATGAGGTAGTGATCAATAACTGAAAGAGTTTTAAAAAGGGACAAATTTATCACTGGCTATTAGCTATAGTAGTTTAAGGGAATCTTCAGGTTGAAATGCAGTCTGTCTCTAAATAACAGATACAGAATGAAATCAGGCAAGAGAATGATATTTATGCTTTAACTTTGCATTTTCGGAAATAAGAACTGCAACTTGGATAGACTTTTGATCATAACCATTATGGCACACAGATGGCCATCTCACAGAGACATTGTTTATATCTTCTACAGAAGCTCAGGATACAGTTAAAGATGATTCTTCACTTTCTGCATATACAACAAAATCCAATAAAGGATTAAATTAGTAGCAACTACAAATAGGGTGGCTATTAAGTTACACTAAAATGTATAGATTTCTGCTTTAATACTGTATCTATTCTTTTTCCATTAAATTAAGGTTTTGAGCTATTTTAATCACTATCTGTCCTAAAATGTAAATTAAGATATAGTCTGAATAAAAATAACATTAAATTACAAGACTTCAGTGAATTACTGTTGGGTAATGTATTTACTCATCTATTACTTTATAGTGTTCAACCCAAGTTCTCAAGGTCAGTTTGAATATGCCAACTCCAATCCAAAATGACTTGCTACCAAATAGTTACAGATGCTATCAATTCTACTATATCCTTTCATAATTTAGATGTCCATGGTAGACATTTTTTTCATCCAAATACAGACCCTCAGGCTTCATGGCTACTAGCGTTACATCGCTAACAGCATTCACATTACACTTAACCACAGAATGGTTATGTAGCAAATATACTAGCCAAAGCATCTGCCCATGGTTTGCCAAAAATTAAGCATGTCATCCAAACTCCAATGCACAGCACTTTCAGACATTGCAAACCACATATTGTTAACTATGGTTTGTAACAAATTATTTAAGGTCACACTAACCTACAAAAAATAATGCCATTCTGTGAACAGGCATATGCTCTTCTACAAGTGCACAGTATTCAGATTCAAAGTAGAAAAGTTGCTTCAGATTTGGCTTGATCATCCTCACTGAATCTTTCAGTGGCACTTTAAAAGCTGGGTCTTTTCCTGGTCTCAAAGCATGCCAGAAAATATGCTACTGACAGATACAACAGGCATGTCCATGCCAAATCCTATATACGTTTCTCACTTTGGATCTGAATACCAGTACATTGCTATCATCTTAATTCAGGTACTGTACTAACTTACAGTATACATTACTCAATTGGGAAAGAAGCATGTATAGAGTTTCTAAATGAATAAATAATTAGTGTATTTTCAAACATTTTCTGCCAATAGCCCTCTTCATATATTAAATTCAATTCCCTTTTGGGCAGGAGCAATTTTAGCTACCCCAATATCCCAGCAGTCAAGACATAAATTATAGGTTGTAAGCCTAATTACAAATATTTGCTTATCATAAGCTGGCTGAATGTAAAAAATGGTGTAACAATTCAAACACCACATAAAATCATAATTAAGTTTCTTTAAAAGTAGTCAGGTCTAAATATAGCCCCTGGCTGAGATCACACAATCCATTATGCTATAATGTGCCTCACAGACATAAGAAGAGCCCCACTGAATTGGGCCAGTGGCCTGTCTAGTCCAGCACTCTTTGTTCCACCGTGTACAGTGACCAACCAGATGCATTAGAAAAGTTTGTAAACATGGAAAGGAGAGTGATAGTCCTCTACTGTTGTTGCTTCCTAGCAGATGATATTTTATATATCGGCCTATGATTCTGTTTCAGCTAGTAGTCGTATCAAGGCTCAGAAGACCTGCAGAAAATACCAGGGCTGTAAGCTATACTGGAAAATCAAAAACACCTCAGAGGAAGACATTCGCAATCTACTTTTGCTTTGTTGTTTTTGTTGCTGCTCTTACCAAGAAAACTATATGAATTCATCAGGAGTCAAGCTCAATTCAAAGACATCTTTACTTTATCTGAAATCCCAGAAGAAGCAAACAGCCAGCAAGAATAGTAGCCAGTGATGGAATGGTCTTCGATGAATCTGTCTTACCATTTTTAAATCTAAATCAGCCGTCAGGTCTGATGGCAGCAAATTCCACAGCTTAACAATAAGGCTTTGCAAAGTCTTTGAAAGAAAGGCTGCATAATACACATAAGCACATATGAAGCACTTATTCACAAATCATTAAAGAAGCCACAAGGTTTGCAAGGCTCATGCAGCTGCTTTGAAAGAGACAAAAGCAAAGCAAAGTGGTTATGTATGACCAAACATATGGAAATAGTCAAGAGCAGCTGCACAAGCCTTGCAAGCATTGCTTTAGCAATTTGAAAAGAGGTACTTTGTAAATATGTCCACGTGTTACGAAGCACCTCTTTAAAAGGCTTTTCACAGCTCTGATAATTATTCATTCTGTAAAACAGTCAGTATTGTCCACAGGGGGGACAAGGGAAGTTCAGACTGATGAAAGTCCCACCCCCTTTCTTCATATATTGTAATACTGGTCACATACCCAAAGAGGCAGAGCTTGCAGCATAACACTACAATTATTCTGACAAAAAGAGATCCTGTGGATGTGCTGAAAGTAGTATTTTGTTTTATTGGGATCAAACATCCTCCATAATTAGTTTCAATGGGTGATTCTGAGTTTTAACATCTCAAGAGAGAAAGAAAACTTTATACTGATCTACATTGGTTTGGTTGGTTTGGACTTTGCATAATTGAGAATCCACCTACTTTGATTTGTAAACTGTGTTTATTTGTTAACACCTTGTGTGAGCCCATAGTGTGGCTTATTCAACAAACCATAGTTAAAACACAGCCTTACAAAATATGAATCCAGCTTTCATCTCTTCATAGCAGAAGACTGAGCCTATACAACCCCTTCTGAATGGATAGTATAAAAATGCTGTAAAATAAATAAACAAGCAAGCAGAAATTTTAGACCTAGAGAAAGATCCTAATAAGACTTGTGTCTTATTAAAGATGCAGGGAAAATACCCTAGGGCATTAATACTGAAAGTAGACATGTAACCTGGCTATGTAATAATAATATACAATGATTATGAATGCATGAAACTTTTTTTTGGATAATTCTGGAACACATTTTGTTCTTCCTCTGGACCAATTCTGAAGGTGGTCCAACAATTTTCCAGAAGTAAATCTTCTGAAACAGAGAATGTTTTGAGGTGCTCCAGATATGGCTGTTTCAGGACCGGCCATTTTGAGAACACCACAACCCTCTTCCTATTCTGGAAGGCTTACTTCTCAAAAACTATTAGATCACCTCCAGCACAAATGGATCAGCATAGTCCAGAGGAAAGAAGTAGCATTTTGCTCATGTCAAACAATTAATAGTGACCGAATGAATAAACCATTTAGATCATTGTTAGATTTTACTGACACCTGAGCGACAGCATATGTTTTTAAGCAGCTCCAGTTCATTACCTGATATTATAAATTTATATCTAGCTCTGTGAGGCTGGGGGCATGGCTTTGATACATTAATTATAATGTATATTAATTATAATATCAGCACTGTTATTCCACAAGCTTTTATCCTACTCCTCTGCACAATTTAAACAGCCTATCTCAAATTCCTCACTTCTTAGTCTGTTAATAAGAAAGGTGATGGGGTAGAACTTGGGCATGTACCTAATTTCATACATGCCATTTCACATTAAGCTTATATATGCACATTTTTATCTAGTTTTAATCTTTGCAAAATGCAAGTAAATGTAATTCTAGATTGCCTCTGATTACACACAAAACAATTAACTATATGGAACAACAGAAGCAAATATGTGTAGCTTAGGGTTGAACTGTGGAGTCCTTGGGGTTCTCTGAGATACCAAGCTCAGAGAACCTCAAGGACTCCACTATATGGAACAATTTAATATAACCTGCATTTGTTCAAACACTCACTATATCAGTTCTGCAGTGCTCAATTATACACTTTTTATATTTCAACTACTGAGCAATAGAAAAATTAATGTTCAAAACTCTTTTGAATTGATGTTAACATTTTTTCCTATAACATTTTGCTTATCAAACATTAGAAAGCAATAAACTTTTACAATACCTTGGATTTCCCCTTAGTGCAGCATGATGAAGAGCATTAAATCCATTGTTATTTGTAATAGTAACATCTGCTCCGGCTTCCAGGAGGACTGCCAAAATATCATCACGCTTCTTACTTATTGCGTCATGAAGAGGTGTATCACCCTCAGAATCCTAAAAATAAATATTAGTCAATTTATATCAATTTCTTTCTCTCCCCACCACCTATCCATCTTCGAGAAAAAAATAGCTAGTTATGAAAAAATTACGTTGGTTTTAAGCTGAATAAATCTGCATTATTTTGAATTTTTAATTGAATTAATCTTAAATTAGCACAACAAAATAACAACATCCTCTTTGTAAATGCTAAGATGTCTTATAGCATGAAAGGCATCAGTGCAATGACGCTTCCCTCAAATCACAGAGACATTAAATTAGAGATGCAGGAAAAGAATTGCCCTAAAATATTTTAAGCTGACTCATTAATAACTTAATAACTTAAAACACAACTGATTTAATATATCTTTTATCACTGACTATACAAGCTAGTGTTGATATGGGTTACTGATGAACACTTTTGGCAAACAATCCCAACAGAAGGGGGGAAGGCTACTGTTTCAGGCCATAAACTGTAGAGGCAGCCTCAAGCCCAGAAACTATCAAAGACAGAACTACAGAAAGTATTCCTGGGTATGTTCTATCAATGCAGTAAGAATTATATACCTTTCAGAAAACAGAGAATGTCTTGAAAGCAATTTCAGAGACGGTTCGTTTGATGCTACTTTTTAGAAAGAATTGCCACTTTAGTAAGCCAACAAAAACAATTTAAAAAATCAAATTAATATACAACACAATAAATGTCTATAAAAATAGAACAGTGGTCCTAGTTTTTGCCCAACGCTGTCATATAATTCACCAATGGCAAATAATTGGGATTCAAATTGAACAGGTACGCACCTATAAATGCCTCAGGGTACAGTTCCATGCTTCCTTATCCTGGAATACTCATTTTTTCTACCAGGCAAGTGTTGGACAGTGTACCTCTTCAGCTATTGTATAATTTTACCATTCAAAAGGAGCCCATTATATCCCTGCACCTTGCAAAGTCTTTCAAGTCAAGGTAGTCCCTCAGCTTCTCTATGGCTCTCAAATTTGCTCCTTTGCAAAACTTACTATTATTGAAACCATTCAGAATAAGTTTATTTGAGCCATATTGATGGTTCCAAAAAGTGCCAAAAATGCCATCCTATGTGTAGAAACAGGTATCGTTTAGTTGGATGCTAGGGCATGGTTTCCTCTTCTTACATTCTGGTTAAAATTAATTCTACTTTCTATAGGTTTAGCCCCATTAGGATTCAGAGATTGCTTTAAATCATCATGGCTTAAAAAAGCCTTAGATAAAATTCAATTGTTGAGCTTCTCTATGGAAAGTCTGTGCTCATTAGGTTTTGATAATGCTAGAACCACCCTTAAACAGTGAATTTGGGATATAGATCTCCAAACAAATCTAAATAAGGTGCTACACCCCAATATTTCTCATTTTCTCTCAAAGGTGTTCATTCCAGCCTCCTATTTATCATCCATTACAATTTTGAAATTTTGTAAGGCTTTCACCTTAGCTAGCTGGATGCTTTGCCTTCAGCAGTCCTTTTTGGATGTTTTAAGGGCACTCTTATGCACCTTCAGTTGTATCCAACTGGTGATGGCTCAATGGAAACTCTAAGTCATATGCTACTGTACTGCTCCCTATATAAGGACTCTAGACAGACTGATCTTATATATCTGATCTTGGAGAAATTTCCAAGTAGGAAATGTGATTTCTATTTAAGGTTACCTCTTTCAGATAAGGACTCAAAAATATCTGCCCAAGTTACAATATGCTACACCATTACTTAAGTTTGGATTTTTTTATTATAGTATTTTATTTTTATTTATTTTGGTATTTTTATTCTTAATTATTTTAGACCCTATTATATTTACTGTTTTGATAGATAGATAGATAGATAGATAGATAGATAGATAGATAGATAGATAGATAGATAGATAGATAGATAGATAATGCTGCTATTATTATTTTGACTGTATCTGGCCTTAGGGCTGTAATAAACTTGATGATTGATGATATAAAAATACACATTTTTAACTAACTAAAAATACTAAAACACAGTTTCCCCCTATCTACCCAAAAGAAAACCCAAAAAGATTCATTTAAAAATAAATTACCTGATATAAGAATGAAGTAAGAGGTTTGCTGAATTTGGCTAACAGCACATCTAGTTCAGCATTCTGTGTCACATAGTGACCTATCAGATGCATTCAGAAAATTCAGAGACATGGACAATAGCTGTTAATCCCTGGCAACTGGTATTTGAGGTATGCTGCATAATTCTGGAGGTAATGAGCAGCCATCATACAGGTCACTATTGACAGCCTGATCTTTGATGAATTTCTCCAGTCCCTTTTGACAAACATCTATAATGATGGTCATCACCATGTTGGATGTTAGCAAAGGCAGGTATAACAGTAACAGGCCAACACTATCACAAAACTAAAGGTCCATAAAAGCATTCTTGGCCATATGAAGCATAGCTAGTATTTCCATACTGCAAACCTGAACTTTCCAATGGAGTGCTTTTCCATCTAGAAGATACTTATTCCTCAGACTTTATAGCAACCAAAACCATTGCTCTTAGTTTGTTCATCCACATCACATCCAGTCCATCATCACCTTCAGTGTATTCAGTGCTTCTATACATCCTGATAGGAGTGAGGGAAAGCTGAACACTACCCTGTTCTGACATTGCACTCCAAATTGTAACTTGGAGGCTAACCCATATTTCAAAGTTATGAACATATGAAAAAAATGCTCAAATTGTGTTCATAGGAGAAAGAAAGAAAGAAAGAAAGAAAGAAAGAAAGAAAGAAAGAAAGAAAGAAAGA